AGCAGCAACTGCTGGAGGTGGAGGACTTGACCATATCCCTGCTACGGGGCGGAGGTTTGGGGCCACTGACGTTACCCCCGGATCTGCCGAATCTGGATCCCGAGTGCCAGGAGCTGCTGCTGGACTTCGCCAACAGCAGCGCAGAACTGACCGGGTGTCTAGTGCGCAGCGCCCGGCCCGTGCGCATCTGCCAGTCCTGCCACCTGCTCTTCCAACAGGTCGTCAGCAAGATGGACAACATCAGCCGATCCGTGGGGGTGGGTAGAGGAACACACCCGGCACCTATGCCATGTAGTGCTGGGAGAGGAGAAGGTTGTAATGATGGTCAAGTCAGGAGGCTTCAGTTTTCCAGCCATAAAAAAAAGGGGGGCTTGAACTGAGTGTGGAGTTTGGGGCATTTGATGGCATTATGGCGCTTGGGGTTTGCATTTTTACCTTTATAGGTGCTGTTGTGCATCCTGTTGGTACTTATTTTCAGATGGGTGTGACTTGTTTTCTTGGGGATCCTGCTTTCCAAACTATCTTCTTCCTTCTCCCTCTCCCGCCGCTTCTGCCACTGCTCCCCCCCCCTCCCGCCGTCTCAACCTGGAAGTCCCAGAAAGAACCCTTTCTTGAAACTACAGTGGAGTGGAGAAGCAGGTAGTGGTTAGAAGCGTGAGCTTGTAGCCAGAAATATTCAGATTCACCCATTGTTAGCAGTGTGTATTATTTGGATGAATGATCTTTTCAGAGCCTTAATTTCCTCAATGAAAACAAAACAACAATAGCTGCTTAATGTGGATGTTAAAAGAATTAAAAGAGATATGTATGCGAGTTCATCTTATTGATTAAGCCAGTGTGGAGCTAGTTGGCCAGGAATCCAATTCCATTCTGCTTGTTAGTGCTATACTCTAAGCAAGTTACACTCTCTGCTTGTTTTCTCATTTGTAAAGTGTGGGATAAATGAAGTCAAGGAAAACTGGTACATAGTAATAGCTCTCCATCTATGGGAGTTAAAATTTTAGGAAATGGTAAGTCTGTCTTCCATTCTTGGCACCCTGAAAGCTTTCCTGGTCATGTAGTAGGATTTAATTTAAAAAAAAAAAAGACTGTTACTGTTGTAAGAACTGTCTAGGATATAGACTAGGAAAGTTTTAGAGTGTCACAGTTGGTGAACTGAGTCACAAGGATGCCTGGTAAGGGGAAAACATGAGGATCAAGGGAGGTTGGGGAGTGGGAAAGTTCCTCTTGTGTTGAGGGGACAGCAAGTAGTCTCATGAAAATGTGGTTAGAGTTATCTCATAAATCATAATTGATATGGATAAATATAAACTTGTATATAGTTGCATTGTGCTTTAAGCCAGCTGATATTATTTTACATAAATGAATTTATTTGCATTAAATAAATGCTGTGGTCAATTAATCTGTAAAGAATTGGTTTTTCAAAATAGTTTAAATAAACTTAGGCTTACATGCAGTATATTCCAAGTGTACTATTAGAGGCTATACATATTTACATATTTAAAAATATGTGTATATATAAAATATATTTCTCTATGACTTTAAGTACCCATGGATTGTCCCTGTGAACTATAGCAGGGAATAACAGGACATCATATTTGGTTTTTGAAAAGTTAGTTGAGTAGTTTTTAGGGTGACTTTTACTATAAAGAACAAGTGCTATTRTGGGCAGAATAGCCATGAGTCATGATATACAGCTTGAATCTTTTGAGGCAGCAAATACTTTTCTAATTTGTGTATACTATAGATTTAAGAAAAAATTATCCCAAACTCTAGTAGTACAGTATTATAGGTATGCATTTCCACATGAGTTTCCCATACCCCTTCTTTTCCTTCTGTGCCTCAGATTCTGCCAGTAACATAGGCACCTAGCTCACCTCACCCTATTGTGAAGAGAGTAAAGAGGTGAAAAGAGGCCAGAAAACCTTTTCTCAAATCTGTGTTTCCTCTCCAGTTCATCCTAGACTTTGGTCTCTGTTCCCCTTCTTTCCTCAGTAGAGCTGAAGGTAGTTCATTACCTCAAAAGCATGATTTCTATAGGTGCTTTATGGATTTAGTAGGCTTTTGTGGCTTGGTTTGGAAACTGAATCATTATTGTAATAACGAACCTATGGAAAAAATGTGTTCTGATTATCATGTGAATGGAACTTGAGGAAATTAGTTGTCTTTTGAGGGGAGGTTTATTTTTCCAGAGTAATGTATTTTCTTTGACTCATTAGACTAGTCTTTCATTTAAATCAGTTTATTTAGCAAGTACCTACTACTTGAATGTTGGGCTGGTAAGAGGATATAGAGGGAGAAAGAGAATAAGGCCCAGGCCTCAAATTATCAGTATGGTTGGAGAAATAAACATATTAAGAAAAAGGAAAATATTATAAATTATATAAATTATACCATAGCAATGTAGAAGGAAATAAATTATACCATAGCAATGTAGAAGGAAAGGATGAAGGAGATGCTGAAAGAAGAGGACAGAGAGCAAGGTGTGATTGTTTAATCAGAGAAAACCCACAGGCTGAATTTCTGACTTTCTTTAAGATGAATAGACTCAGCTTGAGAGAGGACAGGAATTGAATAAGGAGAAAAAAAAATCTAAGGTTAGAAACTAGCCAGGCTGTTCATGTGGGATAGCAAGTGAATTAGTTTAACTAATGGAATTATCTGATGAGAATCCTATATTCTTGATTCTTCCTTGTGGAACTACTGGGACYAGGATCTCATGTAGTTTTGTAACTTCACAGTAAAGAACACAGTGATTTGTGAACCCTGAATGGTTAAACTGATAGGAACATGGTTTCATTGATCTGTTCAGCCTCATGAGATTGGTTTTAAGGATGCTTTAGTCCCCTCAGATTTTGAGATAGTAAGTTCTATCCTATTCTATTGGCTTATTTAAAACTCAAATAGATATAACTAAGTACATATTGTTACAAACATGTTTGTGAAAGTGCTAGTCATTTGGGTTATGCAACTGGAGAGTATTCAACATTTTTAGGAGTAAAGGGTAAAAATGAGAACATAGTATAATCTTTATTTTTACTGTAGGTTAATGAACAAATTCTTAGTAATATAGGGTAAAGATGGGAGCATAGCATAACATGTCTTTCATTAGATATCAGAAAACTTAATTCTTCTTATGCATTCATTCAAAACATTGAATACCTATTATGTGCAGGCTGTGGTAGTTACTAGTAATTCTCTTCAAATGAGCAAAGCTTGTTGACTGAAAACAGATTGTTAAGTGTATCATCATACAGGTAATCATTTAATTCAAGTGTGATAAATATTGTAAAGAAAAAACTCAGATGTACCAAAGCATATAACCAGGGACTAATCTTGAATGGTTGGGGGTAGGTAAAGAGACCAGTACCTAGAGCTGACACCTGAAATGTGAGAGGGCGTAGGGTGGGGAGAAAAGGTATATATGTAAAGAAATGGCAGGTGTGAAGACTCTGAGGGTTTGGTGTGTTTGAAAAAAGCACAGAGAACAGGGAGACTAGTGATTTGAGCCTGAAGAAGTGGTCAGGTACTAGGTCCTGTGTTCCTTGTAGGGAGTGCTAAGGATCGTAGACTCAGATTTTAGGCAGTGCAGTATTGCTGGAAGGATTAATTCTGTGGAATGACATGGTCAGATATGTACTAAAGGCCATTTGGGCAACATGAAAGAAAATGGAGGGGATAGGGCTTGGGGGAGGTAGGGAAAAAGGACATGTGGGGAGATGAATTAGGAGATTAGTACAGTGATGTGAGAAATGGTGGTGGGTAGGTTACATGAGGCCCTTGTGTGGGGAGAAATAGATTTCAGAGATATTTAAGAAGTAGAAATGACAAGGCTTGGTTGTTAATTAAATGTGGGGAGTGAAAAAGGAATTGATGATTTCCAGGGTTTTAATAAGAGTAGTTTAGTGACAGAGTTGACATTTAGTGAGATGGAAGAAAGAGCCTGTTTRGTGGGAAATCATTCACTTGATTTTGAATTGTTGGTTTTGAGGTATTTTTAGACACTTAAGAGGAGATAATTGCATATGTGGTTGGGCAATAGATGTCTAGAGGTCTGGACTAGAGATAAAACCTTTAGAAGTGCTGGGCATAAAAATAATCCTTGAAACTACAGCATGGATGAGTATACCTGAAGAAAGAGTGAGAACACTTAAGAGGGCTGTGGGCTCAGTGGTACAGCACTTGCCAACCACGCACAAGGTCTTTGGTTCAGTCCCCAGGACACGCATATGCACACTCAACACGAACAGGTGGAAGCWAAGAGTTGAAGTTTGGGATAGAGGATAAACTATCAAAGGAAGCTGAGAAGGAGTCACAGAGATGAAGAAAAATAAAGAGAATGTAGGATCCTGTAAACCAAACAAGGGAAGGAGTGGTTATTTGTGTCAAATCCTGCTGAGAGGGTTGAAAGTACATCTATCAACAGCAGCACTATCGCTGACATTAATAAGAATGATTTCAATGGATTGCTTGGGGATGCAGCAAGAATAGGATGGGTTAAACAGTGAATGGAAAATGAGGGAGTGGGAAGAGTGAACCTGCATTACTGTGGGAGTTTGGCCTTAAAGGAGAAATAAGAAAAACATGTCATGAGTGATTTTCTTTGATTTCTTTCAATTCTTTTATCCCTCTATCTCCTTCCTTTTTTCCTTTCCTAAGATGAGAGTGAAATATGTTTAAAATTTATTTGTTTATGGAGATGGGCTGGCCTCAAACCACTGCATTTAAGTGATCCTCATGCTTCAGCCTTCTGAGTAGCTGGGACTGCAGGTGCATGCCTGTGCACCCAGCAACATGTTTGAAGGTTGATGGGAAAGGTGAAGATCTTGTAGAGGTGAATGGTTCTGTAAGAGAGAGTGGAGAAACAGATAAGGTCAGTTTCCAGGGAAGGCAGAGTGGGCAGAATCTAGGGTATGCAAGGAGAGATGGGCCTTTCAGAGGCAGGCACTTTCTCCACTGTAACCCGAGGGTAGAAGGAGAGGGTGAGTGTAGAGTGAGGCAAATCAGTTTTGGCTTGATGTCTTCTGTTTCTTCTGCCAACTAGGAGATTGGATCTTCTCTTGAGAGTAAAGAGAAGTCTGTTATCCAAGTTTCAGGGATTATGGAGAAGATTTGAAATAATGGTTATAAAAAGGAAAGCAGCAAGAAAGTGAGGAGTGTAGCTTAGGATTATGGATTTATGCTGGAAACAGTCTGCTTGGTTTTTAACTTTTTGCCAGCTGCTCCCAACTTCCTCGGTGCAGGCATGAGGAATGTGGATGGTTGGGTTCATGATAGTGAGGATTCTGCCAAATGATGATGGCAGATTTGGGTATTAACAATTTTAAGTATAAATCAAGGACCAGTATTTCAGCTACTGTGTTAGGTGTTAGAGTTTCCTCCTATGGGAACTTAATGTATAGATGGAAAACCTGGATACACATAGAGGTGGATATCATGCTATAAGAAACAGCCTCGGGCAGTGGTAGACCACTCACCTAGCATATGTGAGGCCTTAGGTTCGATCTTCAGCACCACATATAAATAAATAAATAAAGTTAAAAAAAAAAAGAGAAAGAAACAGCCTCAGTGTGGTTAAGTAGCTTATCCAAGGTCATGCAGAGGAAGAGGTAGTCTTTGAATTCAGGTGGATAACACTAATTTTATAGAAGTGTTAGGAGGATGAAGTGGGCTAATGCTCTTGGAGCATTTAGAACTAACTGCTCAACAAACACATCATCATCATTGGGATTATTCATCACTTCCTTTCCATCTCCAGTGTTGCCTCCATCTTTTCATCAGACCTGAACTATGGGAATATTCAAATTAGTCTCGCTGCCTCCTCACCCTAAATATCATGAGCTAGACATTTGTTCCCCACACTCTTAATTTTCTTGTCACTGTCCTCAGAAGTCTTCAAGAATTTCCTACTGACCCTCATGACCCTTAAGGCCTTTCCCATCCGTGTTTTAACTTACCCTTCTGATGTCTTTCATTATGGGGACTCTAGCGATATTTGTCTACTGAATACTTATAAATACCACATTATCACTTTTACCATATGATCCTTTTATTCTACAGTTTAGAATTCTCTTTCCTTTCTCAAAAGGATGTCTTCCTCACCTGAGCTATTCCTCATGTTGAGCACCTGTACAGGCCATACTGTATTTATTTTTTAGCAGGGGTGAGAGCTACTGGRGACTGAACCAGGARCACTCTACCACTGAGATACATCCTTAGCCCTTTTTACTTTTTATTTTGAGAGAGGTTTTCACTAAGTTGTCCAGGCTGACCTTGAACTCAGAGACCTTCTGTCTCAGCCTGTGAGTAGGTGAGATTACAGGTATGTACCACTACAGCTGGCTATGCTGTATTGGTTTTTTAAGTTACTAGTTGTCAATTTGTGGAGATGCAACTTAAGTAACTGACTACCTACACTTAGCCAAATATATCCACTTAGAGCATTCCAGGTTGGTAGCAAGGTAGCTAGATGAAATACCATATAGCAGTTACTGTGTGCCAGATGTTATATTAAGTGATTAACATATTATTTCATTTAATATAGTAACTGTAGGACTCATGATTATGAAACTGAACCCCAGGCAGTTTAGGTCAGCTGCCCAAGATTATCAATGACTGATCTAGGCTTGTTGGATTTCTTGGCTAAGCTCTATTTAAAATAAAAAGCAGAATATGGTGGTGTATGCCTGCAATCCCAACAACTCAGAAGGCTGAGGCAGGAGAATTGCAAGTTTGAGGCCAACTTAATGAGACCCTGTCTCAAAAATAAACAATAAAAGAGGCTGTGGATGTAGCTTAGTGGTAGAGTGCTCTTGGGTTCAATCCCCAGTAATCACGCCCTTGAAAAAAAAATTTCTCCTACTACTTGTATTACTTTGAGATCACTCCAGGAAAATAACTTTAAAATGTTTTGTTCAATTCACTATTTTAAAAGCAAGTACTCATTTGCATCTTTTACCGAGATGACAAAACTAAACCACAAAGAGGATTAGCTTTCAGAAATGAATGCCAGTAATATTTTAAAGCAAGAATCTTTGCTTTAAGCCTGCCTTTCTTTCTTTCTCACCCCACACAGCTGATCAGTTCTTTCCCTAGAGTTACCACTRTTTCTTATACTCATCCCATTGCATAGCTCCTTACCTGTGTCTTCAGGGAGGTTCTGGAAGCCCCAGTATTGATGGCGTTCTCATACTTTTATGTGCTCAAAACTCCAGGATTTGTTTGGTTTCTGGCAAATAGCAGGAGTTAAATAATTGAAGGAATGAATGGTCAGTAGAATACAGTTTTTTGCTTGGAACACAAAGAAAAGTAAACAGTAAAGATTAAGTAATTTAGGAGCTTGGGTTTATTTGCATAGCATGAGTTTCTCTCATGATTAAGATGATCTGTAGAAAGCATATTTTCCTGTCTGAGTACCAACTGTTTGGATACTAATTGGATATGTCACTGGATTTTCTCATGTAAGACTTTGAACCAAAAATTGCTCAAAAGATGAAACCAAATGATTTGTGATCATTTACCCACAGATTAAAAATTCTGTATGTGTATGTATATATGTACACATGTGTATGTAAACATGTTCACTGTAAAAAAATTAGACAGCTTAAGAGAAGTGAAAGTAAAAACTGCCATATTTCTGTTATCCACAGATACTTACTGCTGCATTTTGGTAATGTTCCAGAATTTTTCCTCATGCATAAAAAGTAAGAGATTATGACACACAAGCAAAGCAACTGAGACCTAATTAGTTGAGACTATACTATAGAAGCAAATACTTATTAAAGAAGCACAGATTTTCTTTTCTTGCAGGTGAAATGGATGCCAATAATGATAGCTGCAAATTGTTTCATTATCATTGTTACTATTAATATCACCATTATCTGATCACATCAGAATCTTACAAGGTTTATAATAAATGTTTTAATTATTTTATAAGATGTTTGCCTCAAGTTGTTTGAAAAGTCTAAAAATACTCAGATTGTATTTTTCTTATCTTTTGTTTTCAGAATACTTCAGAGAGTCAGAGTTGTGCCAGAAGTCTTTTAATGGCAGATAGAATGCAAATAGTTGTGATTCTCTCTGAGTTTTTTAATACCACATGGAAGGAGGCAAATTGTGCAAGTAAGTAATTCCTCCATTTTAACGTTGCACTTGGTTCAGTGGTATAGATGACAGATTTTATTTTAGTTGATTTAAAAAGCTCTGAAACTATATAATGCTTTTTATTACTAAGTTTAAATGAACCATCATTAGCATCATGGTTTGTTATTGGTAACTACTTGGGCAAATACTGAAAGTTAGAAAAGTGTAACAGAGAATAATATGAGCTTTGAAGTCAGATGTGGGTTTGATCCTAACCCCTGCTACTTACCAGCTGTCAGATTTTAGGCCATTAACTTTGCCTCTTGAAACTTCAGTTTCGTCATTTGTAAATTGGTGGTAATATTAGAACCTCTCTTAAATGATTGTTTTAAAAATTAATTATTCAAGAGACTCTTAATTTTATAATTAAGATTAATTTGTCCAAGACATATGACCATATGAAAGAAGCAAGGTGTAGAGAAGTTGGATATCTTCTGTCTTAAAAGTACATGTGTACTTTCAGGGAAGTGAACTGGATAGCTGAGTGGGCAGGAAAGGAAGACCTGGTTTTCACTGTGTTTACATTTGTGCCCTTTGAATTTTATGGTATGTATTTAATACCTGTTCAAAATGTACAGAAATTTTAAAAGCAGAACATTCAAATTTGTGATGAGAATATGTTAGAGGTAGAGAGATTGGTTGTTTTCTTTTCYAGGATTATGCATTTAAAAACTTACCTCCCATTCATTGTTTTGTTTATACTTTAAAATTTAACATGACTTACATTTAGTATTTCAAGTGGAATTAAAATAGTTTTCTATAATTTTGGACTCCTCAAATTTTTYGACTGTTTTCTTTTATTTAGTGCTAGGCATTCTAAGACAAGCATTTTAACTAGAATCTGTACCAAATTACTTTATAGAGCTTCTCATTATGCTCCCTGCATACCTATTTAATAATGACAATATAGACTTTTTCTGAAAATGTTATTTAAACGATTATTCAAATAATTTAAACTATCAAAATTTAAGAAAGCATTCTTTCTTGGACAACATATACTTGTATAATGTAGCATAAGATGTAGCATGAGAAAAAGAATTTGAAGGAAGGAAAAAATTGGGAGCTAAGCAAGGTAACAAGTCAGCAATTAAATAAAAAGTCTAGAACTAAATTCAAAAGGTTTTATGACTGTTTATTTTAGAGGACAGTGTTTTTTCATGAGTTAATGCCTAACATTTTCCCCCTTTTTCTCAGGGGATTGACCCAGGTTCTTAGGAACACACTCTGATGCTGGGTTACCCCCAGAGCCACCTAGCTTTGTGTTTTTCTTTTTTTTTTTTTCTTTTTAATATTTTTTAGCGTTGACGGATCTTTATTTTATTCATTTATTTATATGCGGTGCTGAGAATTGAACCCAGTGCCTCACACATGTGAGGCAAGTACTCTACCATTGAGCCACAACCCCAACCCATAACTTTGTGTTTTAAAGTACTGTTTGGCCAGGTGCCATGGTGCATGCCTGTAATCCCAGTGGCTGAGAAGGCTGAGGCAGAAGGATCAGGAGTTCAAAGCCATCCTCAGCAATTTAGCTATGCCCTCCAGSGAGACTGTTTCTCTAAATAAAATATTAAAAAAGGGTTGTGGATTTGGCTCAGTGATTAAGTTCAATCCCCAGTACTAAAAAAGAAAACAACTACAAAAAAAATTAAAGTGTAGTTTGACAAATTCATTGTACAATCTCCATTTTAAGAAATATAAATACACTTAGCCCCACTAAAGTTTAACTTTTATACTGTAGACATAGACATGTTTCATATCCTTTTCTGGTAATACTGGTGATTGAATCAAGGTCCACATGGTTGCATRTGCTCTATCAATTAGCAACATCCCCAGCCCTTTTTAAAAATAATTTCGGTTTGAGATAGGGTCTTGCTAAGTTGTCTAGGCTGACCTTGAGCCTGAGATCCTCCTGCTTTGGCTTCCCAAGGAGCTAGGATTACAGGTGTGTACCACCATACGCAGCTTAAAAGTCAGATCTTTTACTAAAAATATAAATGTAAAGTACTCTCCACCTCCTGCAAGATCAATTAGTTCTACCTAAAATTCAAACTAGGTAATGTATAAAAATGCCTTTTAAAAAATACCTTTTAAAAAATGAAATTATACATGTTATAATGTCAGCCCTACACTGATCAGGCATCAGTAGCTTCATCTTTAACAACCTCAGATCTATTAAGCCATTGATTTCATTGGATCCTAGCTRTCTTATGTTGATAATTAGTCATATAAATACTTCTTTTTAGCTTTACATGTAAAAGAAAAATCAATGTCCTGTCTATCCAGTCTTTTTTTTTTTTTTTAAATCAGGGACTTTAAAAAAGTGTAATTACTCTTTTAATAAAATGGCAGAAGGTGATCACGTCACACTAAAATTTTAAACTAATCATGCTCAATTAGAAATTTGATTAGGGTGCTATCATTTTGTATATATACAAAAATCACAATATAAATATTCAAAAAACAACTTCTGGATAAATATCTTTTTATTTAAACACAAAGAATGACCAGCTTTCTCAGAATCTGTGTGAAATTGTTAAGCATGAGCCACTAGCCCACTTATCTTTTTTTTTATTATTATTAGTTGTTCAAAACATTACAAAGCTCTTCTCATATCATATTTCATACATTTGATTCAAGTGGGTTATGAACTCCCATTTTTACCCCGTATACAGATTGCAGAATCACATCGGTTACACATCCACGTTTTTACATATTGCCATACTAGTGACTGTTGTATTCTGCTATCTTTCCTATCCTCTACTATTCCCCCGCCCCTCCCCTCCCATCTTCTCTCTCTACCCCATCTACTGTAATTCATTTCTCTCCCTTGTTTTTTTCCCCTTTCCCCTCACATCCTCTTATATGTAATTTTGTATAACCCTGAGGGTCTCCTTCCATTTCCATGCAATTTCCCTTCTCTCTCCCTTTCCCTCCCCCCTCTCTCATCCCTGTTTAATGGTGATCTTCTTCTCATGCTCTTCCTCCCTGCTCTGTTCTTAGTTGCCTTCCTTATATCAAAGAAGACATTTGGCATTTGTTTTTTAGGGATTTAGCCCACTTATCTTAGTTACCTTTTCCAATGATCAGATTATTAAATTTGCAGATACACAGTTGATAAATGATGCCAGTAGTAGGGATCTTAATAGTAAATAGTATGGAGTTGGTATAGTCTATCATCTAAAAGGAAAAATGGAAAGGAAAAAAATTACAAAAGAAGAACAAAGACCACTAATTTCTTTAAAAAGTTTGTTTTTAACTCAGACTTAAACCAATATGTGATCCATTTTGTACAAATGTATATTTTGAAATAAAATGTCTATTTCCTTTTGGTAGTAAGTACAAAACTATTAATTATATAAGTAAAAAAATTAAATGAATTTAGGAGGCTCTCTTTGTGCTGCTGTAATGAAATACCACAGATTATGTAATTTATAAACAATAAAAATTTATTTCTCACCGTCCTGGAGACTGGGAAGTCTAAGATCATGGCTCTAGCAGGTTCAGTGTCTGGTGAAGGCCTATTCCTCAAAGATGGCACCATCTGCTCTGTCCTCACATGGCAGAAGGGACAGACAGGGCAACAGAGGAACAAAAACCATGTCTTCACATAGCAGAAGAGTGGAATAGCCAAAAGACTCTGTGTAAAACTTGTTTTGTAAGAACCTTAATCCTGTTCATGAGGCAGGAGTCCTCATTGACTTAGTCAGCTTTAAAGGCCCCATCACTTGATACTTAATGGTCATATTGGCCATTAAGTTTCAACACCCTAGCCGCCCAAATTCATGTTATTCTCACATGCAAAACACATTCATCCCATCCCAATAGTCCCCAAAGTCTTAACTTGTTCTAGCATCAATTTTAAAGTCTATGTTCAGCCCAGAGCAGTGGCACATGCTATAATCCCAGGGACTCTGGAGGCTGAGGCAGGAGGATTGTGAGTTCAAAGCCAGCCTCAGCAAAAGTGAGGCTTTAAGCAACTCAGTGAGACCCTGTCTCTAAATAAAATATAAAATAGGACTGGGGATGTGGCTCAGTGGTTGAGTGCCCCTGAGTGCCCCTGGTGTCCCCCTCCCGAAAAAGTTTACATTCAGAGCTTCACTGAAATATCRAAGCCAGATGTGGGTATGCTAATCTCTATAATAAACAGCTGTTATTAAGCATATCAAACAGGCAAGTGCCACAGTGCCTGGTTCTTGTGTCTTAATTTTTAACTAAAGTGGAGTGCAGGGGCACATGTCTATAATCCTAGCAACTTGGGAGACTGAGGCAGGAGGATTGCAAGTTTGAGGCCTGCCTTTGCAACTTACTGAGACCTTATCTGAAAAATATAAAGGGTTGGAGATGTAACACAGTGGCAGAATGCCCTGGGGTTCAATCCCCAATACCATCCCCCCAATTTTTTAATTAAAAATATAAAGAAAAATATTCTTTTATAGCTGTACAATGTATGTGTTTTAAGCTAAATGTTATAAAAGATTCAAAAAGTTTAAAAAATACAAAAGTTCATGGAATAAAAAAGTTACAGTAAGTTGGGCTGGGGATGTGGCTCAAGCGGTAGCGCGCTCGCCTGGCATGCGTGCGGCCCGGGTTCGATCCTCAGCACCACATACCAGCAAAGATGTGTCCGCCGAGAACTAAAAAATAAATAAATATTAAAAATTCTCTCTCTCTCTCACTCTCTCTTTAAAAAAAAAAAAAGTTACAGTAAGTTAAGTTAGTTTATTATTGAAGAAAAATCTTAGGAATAAATTTACTGTAGCCTAAGTGTGCAGTATTTGTAAAGTCTACAGTTAATATTCTAGGCCTTTGTAATCACTCACTCAGAGTAACTAGTTCTGTAGGTACCACTCATGGTCAGTGCCCTAAATAGGTTGCCATTTTAARTTTTTTGTACTGTATTTTTATTCTGCCTTTACTATGTGTTTAAGTTTTTATTTTATTTTATTCTAATTTGTTATTATATGTTTAGGTGTATAAGT